CTTGACTTTTATTCATGAAAAACTTGAGTTACAAGAAAGACAATTTTGTCCCTCATAGAAGATGGGACACATAACTTAAACTCAGATACAATAGACATTTCACTTTCAATAAGATACACCAAAATGACCAAAATACCCCTGACTCGAGCATTCTAACAGTTATTACATGTTTCTACTCTTCATCTTAAATCTTAATCTGAGCTGTTAACTGGTATCTTATTGTTTTTCTCCATCCATGATCTTGCCCAAAAATTTACAATTTTCCGACATAGAATAGATTGTATTTTATGATCTCTAGATTGTAGTGTTATTCTGTTGTTTTTATTTATGCACATGCTGCTTTTATGGTTGAAAAGTTGGCAGAGCACCAAACCATTTAGTGTTTGACTAGCTACCATTTATTTGTACCTTCTATAATCAAGAACCAATTGAAATCATGAGAGTCATTTGGGTGGTTTGGCTAGTTACCTTTGAAGCTAATATATTCAGAATTATTTGGTACGCATCCATCAACTGAAATATAAACATGCTGGAAAGAACAATAAAATAATAAGTAGAAAGTAAAAGCTCGGGGAAAGATCACATAAAATAAGTACTGACCTAAGAATTAGAAACATAACATTGGGTATAGGAATGAAGCAGAAGAAATCATTACATTAATAAGTGGGAAAAGGAAATGAACTTCTCTCAGAATTCCTTTAGAAAAGGGGGAAAAGCATCACACTCTTACTTTTTTCTTATAATGAAAGAGCAGAGAAGAAAATACAAAAGAAAATACCATTGTAGAGGTTCTACCCACAAAAAATTTCTTCTTCTAAGCGCAAGCTTAGCTAACTTATATTGACTACATACACGAATATATAAAAGATGAAGTGTTGGTTTGGGTACAATATATGTTCAAATAAAGCTTATTCCTTCCAGGACTGGTCCATGATAGCTCCATTTATCTTTCCTATAACATCTTCAACCTCCAAACACATGATAACCCCTGAATAACATCCCTGATCTCTGCATCATTGGATCTGGCAACTGCACAAGTTTTACCAGATGCAACAACAATGGATGTGAAGGTTTGTGGTGCTCTGTTCTACACAGATCTCACAGCTGCCTATGTAGTCTGGCTTGAGTCGAATTTGCATGGCAAGCCAAACAACAATCTGTTATGCAAATACACGTGAAAATCCAAAAATGAACACCAATCAACCCCAAATCAAGAAATCCCACAAAAATAATGAAGGCTTTATTTTTTAAATCTTACTTGGTTCCTTTTGTGGAATCTAAAATTTCTTTGGACATGAATTCCTTGCTACTCTTCCTTCAATTTCTGAACAGAACCAAGTGTAGTCGTTGCTTGTTGAATGTTCCTACCAAAAACAGTTGCATAAATAGTAGGAACATAAAATCGAATCAATATTTGAAATAAAATTTGCAGACACCATCATGAGGACAGTTTGACTCCACATAAAAACGTGGATTGTTTTGACTGTTAACCATTCAAAGTTTATTGACGGGTAAAATTGGTAAAAAAATCAGGTTGTTCGACTAAGACAATGACCATTCTCATTTTTATGGTATGGTAATAGATGTTGGCAAGGGACATTTTATTTGTAGTCTCTTTGCACATTTTGTTTTATAGCTTAGGAGTATGAAATTTATTCATAGTTACAATGAAATTGCAGCAGCGAATTTGGGATCCGTATTGGTCAGAGCAGACAGAGGCAAATCTTTATGAGACAGCAAATGATGTTTTGAAAGGATCAGAGGAGCAAACTTATGGTTTCAATGTGAAGAATGCAGCTCTATTTCCTCCTGAAGTAGAGAAAGGATTGTGGCCCGATAACTACTACTTGTCTGATCATGCACGACTTACTGTGGTTTTCTCACCAGTAAGGATGCCATGTTCTCAGCCGATCTGCTAATCGACTACAAGGTGTATGAAGGTGCATTTTTGTAAAGACAGAAAAAAGAAAAAAAGAAAAGAAAAGAAAAGAAAAAAGAAGAAAAAAGAAATAGCTGAGTTGGAAATTTCCCCCTGCATTACAAGCATATTGCCTGGTGGCAATGCCTTAGGCTCAGCTTGGGAAGAGTACAAATACAAATACGTACAGTGCAAAACCTTGTATACGGTATTTCTAAATCTTCTATTTGCATTCTCCATATTTGTATTTGTACTCTTTCCCAAATACAAATAAAGGCTCTGTTTGGAAGGAGTACAAATACAAATATGTAGTGTGCAAAACCTTGTATTTTATATTATTTTGTATGCATTTGTACTATACATTTTTGTATTTGTACTCCTTCCAAACTGAGCCAAAGTGGCAATGCCTTGGGCTTAGTTTGAGAAGAGTGCAAATATAAATAAATACAAATATGTACAAATGCAAAACCATGTATATGTTATTTCTAAACCTTATATTTGCACTGTACATATTAGTAATATAAACGGTTTTGCAGTGTATATATTTGTATTTGCACACATTGGACGCGTCTAGTGGTAGCCTGGTGGGTTGTTTGTATCCAACTGAAATTTGCATACTTGGCGAGATCTCATAGAAAGTCAATTTTGAAAGTGAAGAAAGAATATAGAAATGAGGAATATGTAAACCTGGACCCTGGAATCTTGCAATTTGTTGAAACAGGTTGAGCCAGCCTAAGGTCGGGCTCCAAGAATTGAATGATCAAGCATCACACCCGACCTGAACACAACCAAAGGTTGGAGAGTAGCAGTGCAACTCCAGTTGGGGGTGGGTAATTGCAATATTGCATGTTAGTGCTTGCACACAAGGGATGGCAGATGACATTGTAATTTACTACTTGCTTCTGTAGAGATTTGAATTCAATCCGATCTCTATGCCACTGCCGGCCCAAAATTCCTACTACTGGGCCATCCATCAACTGACGTGACCAAATTCGTGGCCATGTGGCAAATATAATTGATGTGGTCAAACTTGGGCTAAAACAGAGGTTGGTACTTGGTAGGCTGGTAGCTCATTTGAAACCAGTTTATCTTATTAATTGTTAATTAGTTTGTTAAATTATTAACCAACCTTTCTCTTATAAGTTTAAAATAGTCAATTGTCAATGTTCTTTACATTCAATTCCAATACACCCCTAAAATTATTATTAACCAACCTTTCTCTTATAATTATTATGGTTTCATAGGCATTCTGAGTTCAGAATTTAGTGCAAACGAACAGACCCTTTGTTTTAACAGAAAAATTATTGTGGAAGACATACATGAGTGGGTCCTGTGATTGGCTCTGGGTAAGGAAACGTGAATATCATTCATCAGTCAATAAAATCATAATATCCCTGCTGTCGGCCTTACTGGGTGTCCTTAAATCATGATTCAAAATTTGGTCAAGGCTCTTTTGTGAGAAAAAAAAAGGTAAAATAATTAAAAGTACGGTTTTGCAAAATGGACTAAGGAATACGGTTTTCTAAAAAGTGCACAATTCCGTTTTCTTTTGATGGAAGGATGCAAATTTTTAATTTGCCCCATTATATTTTTTAAATTTTCAAAACATGACCAAGTACTGACCACCTCTTCGTTCTTGCCCAATTTATACTCTTCTGGTGCATTCATATTATATTTGGAAAGATAAGTGTATTATTTTAGCATATTATATTTGGAAATATAAGAAAAGGGCGGTAATTGTATATTTTTCCAAAATTATAGGGGAGATTTTGTTATAGAAGGGAGATTTATATGCTTGTCAGAAAATTTAAGGGAGATTTTTATATTTTACCCTTTAAAATATCGTGATTGTCGCATTCTATCTCATGTGAATGATGTAACAGGGAGTGTTAATGAAAAATGTAATTTGACATACTACATTTCTCCCCATTCAATTCCCTAAGTCTTAAATTTTAGGTATTAACTCTCTCTCATTTCTCCCATTTTTTCATTGAATCTTATATTTAACCTGTTCTTTTCGCCAATAAATTGTATCAACTTGATCTATATCCAATACTTTTAATAATATAAAACATGTGCTTTTTAAAATTGACCACAAAACGGAACCGTTCCTCCATTATGGTGGTGTGTATGCAATTCAAACATCTAGGTCAATCCATGATGTACATTTCTATTTTATATTAATCAAATTAAAGAAAAATAAGTGGGATAATTAATACTTCTTATTGATATTGGAATGACATAAATTTAAAACCAATCCAACATAACAATTATTTTTGTGGTGGTGGTTCAACAATTTGACCTTTTAAGTCAATTGTGTCAACCTTGGATATCATGATTAAAGAAAAAATGAAAAAAGATATGAAAACACAAAAACATTGTGTAACAACACAAATTTTTTGTAAAAAATTAGACACTTATCTATTTCTAATATTTTATATTAATCATATTAAAAAATAAGTGTGATAAATAATAGTTGTAAATAAAGTGGCCTTCAAATCCAACAAATCCACTATTAAATTTACCTGATACCAATCCAATGGCCCTAATCGACCTCCATCTATATTTTACCCTTAGATCAGACACCACCATTAGAATCAACACCCCCCCNCCCCCCCCCTGCCAAATACCTACCCAATAAATCTCAACTCAAAATTCCTCTGTTTACCCTCTCATCAAGCAAAGATTCAATTTCAACCTCACTCGTTAACTTAAAACACCCGCAACCCAGATCCTCTCGATCTTGACACATTAGAACTAATTAGACCACAACATTAGATATTGACACATACCAAAACACCTGCCCATAACTTTTTAACCCAAGATTCCCCCATTTAGCCTTTCACTAAACCAAGATTGCATTTCAAATCCCCTTGTTGACCCAAATTCCTATAATACCCATTTGTAAGTGAACTCACATTGGACTGGATTGGGTTGAACCAAATCCAATCCAATTGATACCTCTACTTGGATGCATCTTTTATTCAAAGACGGAAAGTTAATATAACACCCATGTAGTACTTTTGGAGGTTGCTAAAACTGACAACAAAGAAATATTTACCTGTTTTTCTTGCTTAGAGAGAGAGAAGGCATGCCAACATCAAGGGGATATCCATCAAGAAGCTTTACCAATCTAGGGGCATTTGAATTTAAATTGTATGTGAAAGGCCAAAAAGAACCTCAAAACATTCACTAACAATTGGATCTTGTTTGTTCAACGCTTCAAATGTGTTTTGAAAGCTTAGTTCACTTTGGATTGGACGAGCTTAGCACTGTTTCTGTCACAAGTAGTTGAAGATCAGAATTTGGATTCGTGGGGAGCTTGAGAACTACCCCTATTTGATTGCATCTTTTCGAGCTTGTTAGTGATGAAGAGACAACAAGTTTGCCCTTTTACTTTCTTATCCCAAGCTTCTTTCTCAAATGCGCGTTCTAATGGTTCTTCACCATTTATAAAAGAAACAACAAATGTCGTGATTTTACCTATTTTACACCAAAAGAAGCATCGAAGTCCAAAAGGGTAAAATGGGCATTTAAGAAAACTAATGCATACGGTGGGAAGGTTTATGTTGAGTTTTTTAGAAGTTCATGGGAGGTTTTTGTTAATTTATGATTGTCGAAAACTTCAGGGGAGGTTTTTGTAATTTACCTTTTTTTTTTAAATAAGCAAGGGCTATTATGCCATTTCACATTTCGATGACAAGTTCCACCTCACCTGACCCTGGCTACTAGTACTAGTCCACTGCATTACACATTAACATTACAGTAAAAAGAAGTGAAGCATCTTTCGGTGGACCCCATGTCTGCTTCTTTGAAGATTCAACTGGTTGGCTTCTTCCTACGTCAATCAGTACGGTTTACGATTACGTTATTTATTACGTGTCGACTCCTGGTTGGAACTGACATGTTCACAGTCTCCAGAGATAAATAGTGCCCTGATTACTTCTTCAAATTACGCGCCCAGTCCAAGTGCTTTTCTTTAAGGATAAGCAAACCGGAAGATGGTAAAATCGTCCTTGTAACTTTATGTAGGTAGAAAGAGAAAAGCTGTGGATCAGGACCGATAAAAAACAAGCGGGTAAAGAGACGAAAGATGATGTGAAGTGTTCCAATTTTCCAAGTTCCAGTTAGTATATACTTGGGATTGGGAGGATTTCGATCCGGGACGCGGTTTGAGGAATTGAGGGGGTGTCTGTCATGTCGGGTCCCATACTCCCTTTGGACCCATTCCATTCCATAATAACCATTTGGTTTTCAGCGGCTCCTTTGTGGAAAATGGAAAAAAAAGGGAAGCACTTGCAACTTGCTATGATCCGTCCGTCGATACTGGACCGGACGGATGGATAAGATGATGTGATACTTAAAATATACATACGACGCAATACATATCCACGCTTCCTCCCTTTTCGTGTATTGCATATGCAGAGCCTCTCTGCTCCTTCTTCGAAACCGAGTGGGATAAGATGGAGAGGAGAGATACTGAAAAGCTTTTCCTTTTCCTTGATAACATAATAATCTCTTGCTTTGCAGTTTCTATTTTCCTCTGAAAGTTGGCTTCCTTGTTTCTTTTTTCTTTCTTCCCCCTCTAGGGTTTTCATTGATCTCCATTTCCGCTGCTTGGTTTTATAGTGGTTTGCTTTTAGCACTCTTAAGTGTTAAGTATTTCTCTGCCGAGTGCCGACTACCGAGGGAGGGGCTTTCTTGGTTTTGGGCTGATGCCTGATGAGATGGGAGTGTTGTCTCTCGGTGCTCTGCCTTTAGGTTTTAGATTTCGTCCGACTGACGAAGAGCTCATTAATCATTATCTACGATGCAAGATTAATGGAAAGGAAGACAAGGTTCGGGTCATTCCTGAGGTTGATGTCTGTAAGTGGGAACCCTGGGATTTACCTGGTAAGAAACATCCTTTCCTGTGAAAATCCGAATCCTTTTGTTTTATCATGCTATGGCCTATGGGTTTCTTTTCTTTCCGTAATGCTTATTCTTAGAATTTTTTAGGGTTTCTTTAACTCCACTTTTTGTTCTTTAATTGTTTATTTTCTACATTAAAGTGCAAGTTAGATTGTTGGATTTAGATCAATTTCTTGCTGATTTTTTATGATGTTTCTATCTCTCCATTGACCGTATTTCAGAGTTATCGGTGATAAAAAATGGTGATCCAGAGTGGTTTTTCTTCTCCCCTCGGGATAGGAAATATCCGAATGGCCATCGTTCCAATAGGGCCACGGAGGCTGGGTACTGGAAAGCCACTGGTAAGGATAGGACAATCAAGGCTCGCACCTCTGGGATGCACCTGATCGGTATGAAGAAGACTCTGGTTTTCTATAGGGGTCGTGCGCCCAACGGTCAGAGAACCAACTGGATAATGCACGAGTACAGAGCAACTGAGGAGGAGCTCGATGGTACCCACCCTGGCCAGGTATCCTTTTCTTTCCCCGTTTTTCCTTTATTGTTTTGACTTTTGAGCTATGCATTGTTCTTATTTCTCTTTAGACTGTGTTTGTTTCTCCGTGAAATTTTTTATAAACAAATATTTCAGCTATTTTTCTACACCTTTTACATGCCCCCTCCCCCTCCCTCCCCACGGCCACACACAGGCACAGTAAATGGGGGAGAGGGGGCGGGAAAGAAGAAAAATGAGAAATCCATCTTTCCAATCTTTTAATGCTAATCTTGGACATTTATGAACCCACAATACCGTTCATTTGACTGCTGATTTGCCCTGTAGCTATTTCTATGCATAACATACTGTTTTTGGTTCCCACTCCTCTTTTCCATTTTGCAGGGAGCGTTTGTTCTCTGTCGTCTGTTCAAAAAATCAGATGTTAGAATCGAACATTCAAATTGCGATGAGATTGACCGTACTGGTTCTTCTCCTACAGCAAGATCTTCTCCTGAGGCTACACCAAGAAGAGTAGCATTGGTTGAAACGACCCCAGAGTCAGATATGCATGTTGGAAAACATACCGAAGGTATTGAGAGGTGGCTTGAGGAAAAGGTCGATAACATGACCCCTGATGCTGTGTTAAGTGTAGATGGTCAGTGTAATAGTTCTTTTATTTCTGATGTAGAAGACCATGAGCCAGAAGGGACTATAACAGAGGTAAGAGGTTGTGTTTATTCACTCTATGGTTTCTAGTAACCCTGTCTCGATTGTTACAAGTAATTCAAGTACTAATGCTTTCTTGCTCCTCATTTCTGGTGGATAAACAGCTGGAAGAAGATTTGAACTTGTTTTATGAGCCGGAATTTGAACCACTCGATTCCAAGATTTTCTCCCCAATACATTCTCAAACATACACAGGGCTGGAACTTAAATACATGTCCCTCCTCAGTGGTGACTTTGGAAACAACTCTGGGATGGACTTTCAGGATGGCACAAGTGAGCAGGATGTCTCTATTTCAGAATTCTTAGAAGCAGTAATTAATAACCCTGATGAATCTGGTGAAGAGTTAACCAGTCATAAGAATGCAGTTGATAGCAAGTTGCCAGCTTCAGGGCTTCAGCAGCCACACTTTGATGACAATGGTAGAGTTTGTATGATATCAGGGGAATGGGGGCCTGCGTATGGCAAGGATAGCGGTTCAAGTAGTGAAACAGACACTGATATGGCACAGCCACAGGCACAGGTGAAAAGGAAAATCTGAAATAGCTCCTTCCCTTTATTAGATTGTTTTGCTAGGTCAATCACCAGAGGTTCTATGATCCATTGTTTTGGGTATTAGCAGAAGCAATTGGGTGCATTGCTTCTGGTAATATGCTCAAATGCTATGGATTGGAGGATTCATGGTGTTGGGTTTTGTGAGACATTTTTATATGGTTCAATATGCATTAAAAATCCATAAACTAACCGGTTTCAGAAAATTAACTTTTTTTTTTTTCTGCAAAATTTCTCATTTTTTCCAGCAGAATATTCAGTCAGGCCCAGAGTCTTCAAGTTGGTTTGATGATTTTGCGGGGATAGAGAATTCTTACTTGGGTACGAGTGTTTCTGAGAGAGGTTTTGGCGCTGAAGTGGGTCCCCTGGGTGGTGATAGCTTTCTTGGGCTGGATCAGCAGAGTCTTGTTTACAACAGTGGTGCAGTTGGTGGTGGGTCAGGAATCAGGTTAAGGACTCGCCAACCACAATACCAGCTAAATTCCCTCGACATTATGTCACAGGGCACTGCCCCAAGAAGGATCAGGTTACAGAAGAAGCTTTCTCGCAGAGTGTATTCTTCCTGCAACAAGGCAAGGGTCGATGCAGAAGAGCATGAAGAGAAACCAAAAATTGCCGAGGTGAGGTTTTCCTCTAGTGAAGCTAATATTGGAACTGTCTAAATGCAACTTGTTGATTAGATTTTAAACCCTCTATATAACTACTTGCAGCTGCAGGGAAGAGAAACTGTGAAAGCACCGAGTACTGAAGAGGTCCAGAAGAGGACAACCTCCACTCTTGATTCTGAACTTGCTCAAGAATTTGATAAAAAGCTGAGGTTTAGATCAAAGCAGGATGGCGTGGTGTTCGGTGAGCAACAAGGCCTGTCTTCATTGTTCAAGGACCGTCGCCCAGGTTTCCCATCTTTTTATGTCGTAGGTGTAGCTGTAGTTGCTATGCTGTCGTTGTTTGTTTGGGTATTAGGGTGACTGACCGAGGCAGAGAGTGGTTGGCTATCAGCTTTTATCTTTTGGCCAGCGCAGGAATAGCTTGCCCTACATTTATGTATATACATAGAGATGGATTTAAGCGGGCTAGCTGTAGTTGAGTATGATATTATTTCTCAAATTTGTAGGTGAGTGTAGTTGATTTTATTTAGGTATGTATGTATATGTGTTTGTATTGTTTATAAATTTTTAACAGGCAAATTTGTTTAGCTAATTGACTAAGGGGTTGTTCGGTGTCGCTGAATGCTGATATTTTAATGGGTGTCTTAGGCCTTCAGCAATAAAGTGATCGTTCGACTTCACTTGTTGCTAAAGAGTATCGAGTGTGCCTGGCAGTACGGTCTTGGACGGTCAGTGAATATATTTGCTAAGGGGTTCGGTGTCGTTGATTGCTGATCTCTTAATGGGTGTCGTAGGCCTTAAGCAATGAAGTGATTGTTCGACTGATTTTGCTCTTTTTTGAACGTTATAAAGTTGAGGACCCATTGGATCCATTGCTTTACCATTGACGATGCTTGTTCAGTCTGATCAATCTGAGACGTTCAAGACATTGCCACCACATTGAAGAAGAGATTGGAGGCTGTCGTTGGAGGATATCTTGGCCACTAATCGCCATTTGATTACTTGTTATAGTGATTTTGAAGAGGTATGTCAGTTTTTCTTTTCACACTTTGCCGTAGACGGTTGACCGGATGAACGTCGGAGTAGTATTTTCCGGTCAAGACAATGAATGACGTGGGATCCCTGTACCGGTGTCGTGCATAGGTGGTTGTTAGGTCATCGAAACGTGTTGCTGCCTTGCTGTGCATCTCTGCTTTTTCACTGTTGAGTTGAAGATAACCCCTCGATATGGTTGTACGATTCACTCAGGTTGGATCAGGTTTTATTATACTCTAATAAAAAGATAAAAAAAGTAAAAAACAATTGAAAGTGGATTATAGAAAATTGTATGTGTGTATTATATATATGTAGAATAATAAAATTGTAAAAAATAATACAATTATTTTTATAAAAATACTATAATATAAATATATAAATAAAAAACATATAATAGAAAACCAAATAAAATACTAAAAATCATTAAAAAATTGGTAATATGATATTGTAAAAATTGGCAATTTAAATTATATATAATATACTATAAATATAAATATAAAATATATATTTATATAAATATATATTGTAAAAATAACAAAAAATAATAAAATAAAATAAAACAATAAAAAAGTTATTTACAAACAGAAAAAAAAATAAGAAATATATATAAAAATTGATATATGATGGAAAATTATTAATATAAAATATAATATACTATATATTCAAATAAAAATACATAAAATAACAAAAAATATTAAATTAAATTTTGTGTTTGACATTAAAGATGAAAAAAAATATATATTTTTGTGCGCAATAAAATTATAGTTTCATTATTTTTAATATCTTATGATTGAATTAAATTTATTGTGTAAAGTCTTAGTTCTTTATAGTTGTTAAATTCTGTGGTTTAAATAATTATTGTTTGTGCAAATTCTATTATATATATTGTGTAAATGGTAATAGACATTTAAATATATATAATATTATATATTAATTAGATTATAATGTAAAAAATAACAAATAATAAAAATTATTTAAAATTAATAAAAAAATAGAACAAGCACAAAATAGTAAGAATTATTAAAAATTTGGTAATATGATATATGATAGCAATATATATATATATATATATATAATATAAATATAAAAAATTATATTATATTGTAGAAAATAGAAGAAAATAATAAAACATATTAATAAACATGGAGGTTGTATTGTTAAAAATATTTAATGTAAAAAAGTAAAGATTTAATAAAACAAAATAAAACAATAAAACATTATTTAAAATAGAAAATAATGTACATATAATATACATATGATATGTTATATAATATAATATATATAGAAAAGTAAAAATAAAATAATAAGAAATATTAAAAATGGTAATATGATGTGATGTCAAAAAATTGTGTATGCATTCATAAATATAAATATAAATATAAATATATACATATATATTATATTATAAAAACTAACAAAAAATAGTAAAAATTATTAAGAAACAATAAAAAGTAATATAAAAAATACAATATAGTATAATATTGAACAGTAAAAGCTAATAATAATAAATAAATAAATAAATAAATTATAAAAAATGAACAAATTAGTAGAAATTATTGTTAAAAATAGTATAATATATATAAATGTATAGAAATAATAAAAAACAATTAAAATATTAAAATTTTGGTATATATAGATTGTATTTTAAAAAATAAAAAATAAATAGAAATTATTGAAAAAGTATATATATATATATATATATATATCAAGATATAAATATATATCAAAAAATAAAAATTAAAACAAAATTATTATTATAAAAAAATACCATGATATAAATATATAAATTGAAAACATATAATATAAAAACAAATAAAATAGTAAAAATCATTAAAAAATGGTAATATATATATATATATATATATTATATTTTAAAGACAACTGAAAATAATAAAACAAAATAAAACAATAAAAATTATTTAAAATAGAAAAAAATAATAAAAAAGTATATATATACTACATTTTAAAAAATAACAGAAAATAATAAAAAGTTACTAAAAATTAGAACAAAATAATAGAAAATTATTATTATAAAAAGCTAATACTCAAAAATGTAGTATATATATATATATCTTTTTATTTGATTTTTTTTCACATTTCAACACCCACTAAAAGTTTTCTCTAATTATTCATACCGTATACAAATGCAAAGTCACTCTCATGCAAAGCAATTCAGACATTCAGGGCTGCAATGAGCTAACGAGTGTAGGGCATTATTTCAGGGTGCTTGTGTCACTAGACAAGATTGTTGGGGTCCTAGGGCAAGAGGGTCAGTGCAACGAGATTAATTATCTGGCTCAAAACGTACTTCTAATGGTATACCATGGTTTGATAGTGGTTTGCAATTTTTTATGAAAATGAGACATACAGATGGAACAAATGAGTTAATTGTTGACTATGGTGAGCACGTTGAATTTATGCCTGATCTGTCTTCGAGTAGATGGAAAAAGTCTAAGGGAGTGGATATGGTTGTTGAGATTTAAAACATGAATGAATCTATTAAGGACCTAATTGATGTTGAGGACACCTATGCAACAGAACCCACTTCTTATGTCAGTCCAAGCAATCCAACATCTAGATGAGATTGAAGTGTATAGAGGCGTTATAATTGGGTATCACTGAAACACATCTATTATATATTCAAGCATCCATGCTATTTGTTGAGAATGTAAAATATAGGAGGTAGTGGAAGATGGTACATGGGAATGTATCCATAAATGTGCAACTCTCATGGTTGCAATAGATGGTGAGAAGCCTCTTTGGGGTATGAGGGGATACCTATGGTTAAAGGTTACTTCTATGGGTTCTTTTCTTCACTGATTCTATCTGTTATCATTTGCGTTGGTTGAACATGTGTGGTTTTTACCTGTAACGTTTAAACCATTTCAAATTAATTTATCTTATGAATATTATTACTTAATCAGTTTCACACATATCATCATTTTTTTAACGCATCATGACTTATTTGTCAGAAAGAGCTTATTCACATGGTGGAATATTTTTTACATCGTTATACATTTCACCTAACAAYGAACTTGGAAAAATACATCCACTTGTTACCATTTCTTTCTCGTATATTGGATCGTAAAAGTTATGCTATTTAATCATTGATGCTGCACGATTGGGCACTCCTAGTTGGCTGTGACCTGGCTTCTGGCTGGAACGAACGACACCTGAGAGGAAGGAGAAAGTGAAGGGTTCCCGGGAGTTATCCCGGTGGGAACACTTCGATGGCTAAGTTAGAACTGGAGAAAATCTCAAAGAGAGAGTAGAGAGTAAGAGTGTTCAAAGTGCTTAAGCTTCAATACCTTTTCCTTGTGAGAGTTAGAGTTCTTTTATGTTGGAGCCTGGTTAGACTTGGCATAACCGCCACCGCCCTAGCCGTTACTGCCAGGGCAGGTGTGGTACGCGTAGGTTGCTACAACAAACTGCCATCACCAGGTATGGGCTTGACAGATGTGTTATGCTTTCCAGAGACGACAAACAGAACGCCGCCTGGCAAGCGGAACGCCGCCTAGCAAGCGGAACGTCGCCTGGCAAGGGATTAGAACCCTACCCATCGGGTCCGACGGGTACGGATATCAGACAGGGCTCCCCACAGCCTACCGAGCTACCGCACACCGGACTGCCTGGGGCAGGTTTGTCCCGGTACCGAGGTGCCGATGTGCCTGCACTAGGGGCGTTGCTACCCCGAGGTGCTCCTTCCTTGAGACACTTGGCCAAGAGTCGGGGTGCTTCCTCCTTGGGAAGGGAGAGTCCCGGGCCCCTTAGGGGGAGCTCGGGACCTTCCACACTTGGCGGGAGTCAAAGTTGGCCAGGTGTCAGTCCCCGGCGAGTTGCTTAACTCGCCGCGTGGCCAACGTTGGACTCGACGTGTCTCTCCCGTCGAGTCGCGGTCGTGCTGCCAGGCTGAGCTGTTCACTGGGCCAGGTCACATACACGTGTCCCCGGACTGGGCCAAATCACCCTTCATCAATTGCCCCCACTCCTTGTACTGGGGGTGGTGACCCAGCGCGGGGAGTTCATGATGCGCTGAGTGGATTTGGCTCGGTACTCATGCCACCCTGTCGGGTGACTCGTTGGCCGGACCGACATTCGGTTCGTTCGGAAAGAGAACCTGGGTCGTGTACATCTTACGCGCGAACGTCACGCGATCTGGACTTCATGGACGCCAAAAAACGCGCTAAATTGATTTCGTCCTGAGAGTCTCGCATCCAGTTTTCTTGAGGACCGTCAGATCGCTTCGATCCTGACCGATGGCATCCGGGCCCAGCGGCTATAAATAACGGGGGACCCAGGTCTTTCTTTCGCCACTAAGTACCTTTCGTCTACCTTGATCTCGCGTCTGGAGTCTTCAGCTCGGGTCTTCTAGTCTGGTTGCGTCTTTTTCCCGGTGAGTCCCCGAGCTTCCCTTTCTCCTTTTTTTCCAGTTCATTCCCTTCCATGTCTAGTGGGGACAGTATTTTAGACGAACCCGAGGTGGGTACCTTGGGTCAAGGTGACCCTGCCGTCGCCCGACCTTCCCACGAGGCCCGGGTGACCTTGGGTAAATTGGCGTCTACCTCTCGTCGAGGTCGGGCGCCGGACTAGTTCGATCCATCTGTTATGACGCTGGAGAGGCTTCAGGACCTCATCTGACAGTTCAACCTACCTCAGAAGTATTCGTACAGTCTTCCCACCAGCAACTTCCCTTGGGAGCACGGTCCAAATGAGATCGTGATCTTTAGGGAACAGCTTGTTGGTAGGCTTCGTCTCCCTCTCCACCACCTTATCCCCGAGGTGTTGAGGCG